CTAGCCGCACGTTGTCATCTGCGGAGAAGAACTACTAGACGACTGAAAAAGAATGTCTGGCGGTTGTATGGGCCATAACGAAATTCAGGCCCTACTTGTACGAACGCCCGCCCCTTCCAAATCGTCAGTGACTACCACTCTCTCTGCTGGCTAGCGAAACTGAAAGACCCTTCGGGCTGTCTCGCAAGATGGAGCCTTCGGTTACAAGAATTCGATATAACGATGGTTTACAAGTCTGGTCAGAAACACACCGACGCTGACTGTCTTTCCCGCGCACCCGTCGAGGTCACTGAAGAAGAAAATGATGAAGACTTCAGCTGCCTTGCTATTCTCGCATCATTAAACGTGGCTGAGCAGCAACGCGAAGACTTGAAATTACAACCACTGATAAAATACCTTGAGGGACGTCGCCCACAACCGCCACGTCAGTTCGTGCGTGATTCGTCGTCTTTCTGTCTACGCCAAGGCATCCTCTACAAGTGCAACTTTCATTCAACGAAAACTGTTTACCTCCTCGTCGTTCCTGCTGCTCTCCGCGATGATATCTTGCGTGCTTGTCACGACGAGCCATCGTCAGGGCATCTTGGCTTCACGCGTACTTTGGCGCGGATAAAAAACAAATACTACGGGCGGAAACTTACGAAAACCGTCCGGCAGTATGTCAAGACATGCAGAGCCTGTCAGCGCCGCAAAACTCCAACGACGAAACCAGCCGGTCTGCTTCAGCCTTTGCGACCCCCTCACGCACCTTTTGAAAAGGTCGGGATGGATTTACTCGGCCCATTTCCGAAGTATACGGCTGGTAACCGCTGGATTGTGGTTGCCACCGACTCCTTGACCAGATACTGCGAAACACAAGCCGCCCAGCGAGCAACTGCATCCGAGGTGGCTGACTTTTTCATCAAGAACATCGTCCTCCGCCACGATGCTCCCGCTGTCGTCATCACAGATCGTGGTACTGCTTTTACGGCACAGTTGCTCCGACAGATCCTTTTGCTGAGCGGCACGACGCACCGAACAGCAACTGCGTGCGTACCACCCACAGACTAACGGGTTAACCGAACGCCTTAACGAAACGATTGCAGATATGCTTGCGATGTATGTCGCCAAGGATCAGAAATTGGGATGAAATCCTCCCGTATATAACATTCGCCTACAATACGGCTTTGCTGGAAACGACCGGCTTTGCTCCTTTTCGTCTGGTTTACGGCCGCGACGTCACCACAATGCTTGACACCATGCTGCAACCAAGTCTGCCGGACACGATTACCCCGGACACAGATGTATTTGTTCAGCGTGCCGAAGACGCCCGGCAACTGGCGCGCTTTCGCATTTTATCGTGGCAAAATCAAGATGCTCGCCGATACAACACCCACCACAGAGCAGTAATATACAAACCCGGTGACCCAGTCTGGGTTTGGACTCCTATACGTCAACGGGGACGCTCAAAAAAATTGTTATGTCGGTACTTCGGACCCTACCGAGTTCTTCATCGCCTCGGCGAAGTGAACTACGAAGTTGTCCCAGCAGACACGTCACACCGTTCTCGCAGACCACGCTCCTCGTATGTGGTTCACGTCTCCAGGATGAAGCCGTACTATTCGCGTTGACTGCAATCAAGAACTTTGTGATGTGGCAATAAATAGCCTTCAAGACAATTGTGCATTACTTTCTTGCTTCTTTATTTTTCATCTCGTCCTTTTTCTTTTCAAAGGACGCAGACATTTCTGACTACCATTCGTTGTTTTTCGGAGCCGTGGCATTCATGCGATGCTTCTTCTTTTTTTTCTTTGGGGAGAGGGCAATGCCACGCTGTGTTGGTGGCAGAAGACGAAAGCGAAGAAGTGAATGGTAGCTGTGGCTGAGTAAACAGCCCTCCACTTCGAGTTCCTGCCTGTCGTTTCCTCTCGCGACAATATCAACTATTATGGACCAATATTGATCTTTCCATGTTTTTCGCAGATTGTACGAGAAGTTATTAACAATCTACTAATAAACTACTTGATAACATAACTTGCTATCTGAACATCAATATGGTTTCCACAAAGGCAAATCTGCAGAGAGTGCTTTACTCAATATTAGAGAAAAGATATTAGCTAGTATAGAACACCAATTGTGCACTGACGGTATTTTTTAGACCGTAAGAAAATGTTTGATTTGATTAGGCATGAAATGATCTTCGCTAAGTTACCAGGTTATAGAATCAGAAGCATAACATTAAGTCTGATACAAGACGCTATATTTGTGACCGAAGCCAGTTTGTTTTAATCGATAATATCAAGTCCGACAAGCAAACAATTATGAATGGCGTGCCACAAGGTTAAATACTAGGGTGTATCTTGTTCCTTATATACAATAATGATGTTGTTTTTATTCCTCACACCCCTGAAATATTTCTGTATGAAGATGTAGGATTATTTTCTTCTTCTAGTCTACTTAGCCTTGTGAACTCGGCGAACATATGGCTACAATGTTTAACAGACTGGTTAAGTGCTAATCAGGTAAAATTAAATGTCAGCAAAACTAAATTCATTTATATCCATACCACTAATATACCAGTTTCCTTTATTCCCTTCGCTCTTATTTAGGACGCAGGCACTCAAACGAGTCTCTCAATATAAATTTGTTGGTGTGCGATTACACCAAAACGTATGATGTACACCCTTGAACTTATTGCAAGCAACATAGTCAAATCAGTAAGTGTCCTAAACAGATACCGGGCCTTGTTACCCAAATCGTTAAAACGCCAATTATTCTTTTCTTTATTTCATTCCCGCTTGCACTATTACTTTCTCATTTGGGGAGTTACGTCGCGGTATAATGTAAATAGCTTGAATCTCATACAAAAAAAGAGCTCTGCTTTTCAATAGTAACTTATCCTACCACCAACACGTAGCTTCACATTTTTCATCAAAGAACATTCTTTGCATTCGTGAGACATATAACGAACGTCTCTCTGAGCTGATATTATTAGAATAGAGAAATGACTCTGAGTGATTTCTCGCTACCTACACTAACAACGCTTGAAAATACAATTTCAGACATTCCACTTTTTTGAAACCAAAAACTATAACTGCCTATGGTCAGCAACTTCGCAAATCTCTAATCTACTAAACAGTCATCCCCAAGTACTAAATCTGATAATGTATGCTTCTTCCATATCATTTTTCAGAAAGAAGTTGAAGATGTACTTCTTAGAGCACTTATAGTATGACTGCGCTTAATTATGCCATTTGTTATATTTCTATGAATGAAGTGTTATATATACACCCCCTTTTCTGACTATTCATGTACAAAAGCCCGTGTTTATGCGAGAGTCTCATATGAAGCACTGGTGTACACACCCCTATTGCTCTCTTCATTTCTTTTGTTTATTTGCTTTGCTATGATACGAGTATGTAATGTCAACCATTTTTTCGAAGCCTTGTTGTAACATTTATTTTGCAAAAGCTTTCTTCCTAGTTCTTCGCAATTTGATTGTGTTCTTATGTTTCTACTTTTTGCCAATGCAGTTGCTCTGTGTGAAGAATGTACGTTGTGGTGCTAGAGGCCTAGTCAGGGGACTAATATGTCGCATATCTTCTCCTGCACCGCGGCAGTCATATATTGTCAAACGAATAAATGAAGATATCACAGCTCGTTCTAATCAAGCATCTCATACTTGAATTGGAGGCCCTTACTAACCTTCTTGAAAATGTCAAGCACGTCATTTATATTTGTAGACGTTTCAATTACATCTAATATTACCCGATAGTCATCGACATGCCTAAATATTTTTACACCGCACCGACCAAGTTCCTCTTCAATATCTTCTTCAATGCAAACTAAAAATATATTGCTGATAACCGAGGCAATCCGCGACCCGATACAAATACCTATTATTTCTAGTACAGCTTACCCTTAGAACCTATAACAGTTTGTCTTAAAGAACGTCTTAATAGTTTGAGGAAAGGTTCAACAACAACAAAAAACAGTGCTTATCGACAGTCACATATGATTGTACAAATGAAAGCATCCTTGCAGACATCTTACTGATTTCCTCTGGGGTATAGAATAGTACAAACCTTCGGCATCAACATCAAACACACTGCATCTTCCAGCTTGCAGTCTGCTAAGTAATGCGTGACATCTTAAGGATTTTACAACATGAACGGGTCCCGAACATTTAGGTAGTTTAAGTATTCGTGAAAAAATTGAGACAGGCACAACTACCATGAACCTTTTTCGGAAACTATGGTTCTGACCGAAAAACTGTCTCTGTGTGTTTTTCCTGCAAAAAAGACGTTCAAGTTGAAAACATTTTCTTTTTTTCATACCAGAGGCTACTTTTTGAATACTATCCATCTGCATAAAGTCGCCCAACTGTCGGTGCTACGTAACGAGACAGCGGTCATTGCGACGTCGACCACTTAAATAGCTAGCAAATTGCCACTTGAATTCGACTGACCACAATGCCACCTATTTGCGCACAATGTTAGCAGCCCAGTGCCAAACGTGCCGCTGCCACGTAGAAACCTGGGCTCACTGTAACTACTGATTTTATTGCCTTGGGGGTGCGCTGCTGACTGTCGAAAACAATAGCCGATGCAGTGTTTATAACCGCACTGTTGGCGCAAATAGAGGGCTGTAATATCTGTATTGTCAGCCTCGCGTGCCGATCGTCTACTATATACCGATCCTTACAAGAAAATATTTGGCTGGTTTCAATATACCGTCACTAGTATTTCGCCGAATGTCACAATGACTGTTAATTTATAGGATGCTCTTGAAGTTCCTATTAGGTGTCTGTGTAGTTCATTGGTGTTTTTGGCTCCTTTCGTTATATGCGAAGTAGGAAAAGAAATCCCGACTTTGTTTGCAGACATTATTTATTCGACATAATACTCCTTTCTTGTTATAACTCTGCTTTAGTCTCAAGGGTACTATTTTCTGTGCAAAGAAGTCAGAAAAACAATCTGCGTTGAGAAAAAGAATAATGCTAAACTCCTTTCACATTTCAGCTCACTTTACTGCTGTACATGGCCCGCTGTGGAGCATACTGGATGTGGCGGCGCAAGATCGACCCAGACAACGCACTCATTCCACTCTTGACGGGATTCGGAGACCTGTGTGGCACAGGTTTCCTGCTGCTCGCATTCCTTTTTCTCGAAAGCATCGAAGATGACAGCGTTGCCGGATTTGGGGGCCTAGCCACTAATCTCACGATCGCCAGCTGAACTGCACTGGACCTCCACTCACGGGACTCACGCTGGCAGGCCCGTGTGCATTCTCGCGAGGCGTGCTTGAATACATGCCACCGAAAACCAAGACGAGGGTGACCTGTGCCTAGCATGGAAACGGCCTACGTTTCGACAACCATTGTGCACTGGTCGTGCAACCACCACGATGACTCCAAAGGCGGAAACTGAACAACTGTTCACTGTATTTAGTAATGTATAGATCTAAGTGCACCGATGCAAACTCATTTACTGTTCCGAACCAAATCTCTCCTCTTCATTTGCATTTCCAAAACAAAGCTTGCGACTTTTGAACTCAACTATCTCCGACGACTGTGCAGCAGGATGTTACTCATTCGGCAAATCAATGCCGCAACTAAGAAAAGTTGAGTGGGTTCTAATACCCCCCGAATTTATTTCATACATTAACTAGTTGGTTGATACTAAAGTATACTTACACGTCTTCGTATCGACCACCATGTAGTTTACAAAGTTAGCTGTTCTACGCATAAACACCCCTCGAAACAATTCCAAAGTACGGCCCTGCGGCAGCTAGAAATGATCGCACAGTCAACAATCACTTCGACAGACATGGCATTCCTTATACCGCCTCCAAGATCGGACTTCTCTGCCGTAACTTTGATTGCAGTCTTATATGTGCCGGGCTGCAGAGGGGAGACGCGACGCTCGCGAATAAATCTGCACTCGTAAACTGTCACTCATGCATTGAGAATGTGATTCGATTCGGGTACTTGTATATAGACGGTGCTTCCGATTTTGGGTCATGCAAGAAACGACCGATTTTCATAAAGCGCGAAACGACACATGGACACTAGAAAGTACATACGGGCATTACACAGCGCTACTCACAACACGTTTCAAAGCTAAACAGCAATTATCCTTTTCTAAGTGATTCGACAGCATTGTAATCCTCACCCGCAAAAGAAGTATGACGCGAAAGAAGCTTGAGAACACGACAATTCATTCAGAACTCTGGTGAGCGTATATAGCGTGTCTGCCATAGAAATAATGCGAGTACATTTTATAGACTATGTCTCTTCACGTCTAACCCAGACACACACATTTTATTCACAGTTATTACCAAACTATTCTTCTCCCGAACAAGGCACATGCCATATTTGGGCACATCGCGTCTCCTCTCTGGTGTGGATCTATTGATTTCCTATTAGAAAGATTTTTTTAGCAAACAAAACCGAGAAAACAAAACTGGGCAAAATCTGGCGGTAACAAAAAGTACATTTAAGTTACATTTTGGAAGCGTCAGATTAACATTGGTCAATATCGAACTGAAAAGTCGGCTCAATTTTTCATTTTTCAATAAAAGAAGATAGAGTCATATTCAGGACCTGTGTGAATGAAAAATGACGCAGTTTTACTTTTAGCCAATGGGTGTGCTCGGTGAGCACCTTGGGGAGAAAGCAACCTACACAGCCGCTACCAGTCCGTTTAACGTCTGACCATTTACACGTGTATCATGCTTTTGTACCAAGGGCTTACATTTAGTACAAACAGCCACGCAGATGAGAAGCTTGAAGACAGTTCCGAGAATAGGCTACACTAATGTGCACCACGTAAACCCAGCAATTAGCGTATACTGTTCCCCAGCTGTCACCCTAGAAAACCCTTTATTATGCCACTGTGACTATAAACCTAAAGGAAGAGTGTAGTAGATGCGATGGAGCGAAAGTAGTACGGATGGTGAGAAGCAGAAAACATAGGCGCTGACAAACGACTGAGTGCGAATTTATTGCACTCAGTTGCATGTGACGATGCTACGATTTTAGTTGTTATTTATTTGTATACTTTTTGTTGCAATAAATTCTTCTGCTTGCCCATGAGCGCGTTTGCTGTCTGTTTCTTACCCTCCGTCCCGCTTTCACGTTATTTTCACCGCAGCGAATGAAGAGTGTCAGGAAGCAAGAAAAACATTCACAGATGATCACAATACTTCCGTGTGCGATATTTCGAAAAAGCGGTGGAAGACACTATTACACCGATTCCGACATTTTTTCACACCCCGCTTCCTCTTCTCAAGTACATGTAGCAAGCCGGTTAGTCCTCCTCTGCTTAACCTCCCTGTCTGTCTTTCATCTTTTTCTATCTCTCTACCGGTTGTGACGTTACAACTGGTACGCCTCTAGTGCAACGCGTTTTAAGAGGCAGTGGCGTAGGAGCAATAGCGCATGCGCAGTGAATCAGGGTTCCACCTCAGTACTTTGTTTTCACGTATCCTATTGGTGGATGTTTTCACCAAGTGACTTCGTTAGGACGTCATTGGGGAGTGGATGGCACCCACTGTGTATACTCTGCAGTCATTCGGGGTGGCTTGCCAAGTAAAAAAAAATGGCCCCGTATCTGCATCTAATCTGCAAATGTCGTCGAAATGCGATAGTCTTGTGTGTGGATAGAGTTAGCAAGACATTTATTTGATGTTTCGTGCAAGAACATTAGTGAATGGTATCCTGGAGGCGCTGCGTAAGAGTGCTTCGAGTGTGCAGCGGAGGCGAACGAGCGCATCAAGTCACAGCCCACGTTAGACATAAGCGCCATCTGGCAGTTGTCTTAGAAAACAAAACACGTGGCTTTGAGGCGGGTGAGCGCGCCCATCTCAGAGGTGATAAGGTGTAGAACGCAAGGCGACGGGTAGGTGCCACCACTGTTTTGTTTGAGCAAAGCGTTGGAAACACTCGCCTTTCCGTGGAGGCGTTGCATGGTCAGCGCAGCGTGATAAGTTCCTGGTCCTTAAAATTACTTATGCATGTCTTTCTAGTAAGAGACGCACATCCAGAATATATACGTGTTGTTATGGTGCCCCAGACATGCGCAATAACTGCTTTTTAATTGACAATTGCACAAGCATGAACACTCAACCTTGAGCAACATAGGTGGGCGCAGCAGATGGGGTCGGCCGTTTCAAGCACCCGATGCTGTCAAGAGTGGACAAACAGACAAACGTACACACAGACAGACAGACAGACAGACAGACCAAAATTTTTGTATCGATGGTCCCCAAGAAAGACTATCGTCTTTAAAAAAAGGAAACGTTGCCAGAGCAGAAGAGTGCTATTCATCTAAAACCATAGGTTGCATATGTAGCCTGTGAAGATAGGTTTGAGAAGGGCTTACACTACGAAGCCACCGGAAAGGGACGCGACATTTTGTACCGCCATCGCTACAAAGACGCTACGGCCAGGTTCATCGACCCTTCGACACGGCGTAGAGATTGCACTCGAGGCAGGTCGTCCACACCATGATTAACTCAAGATACATCACAGTGTGACAATCGCGGGCTTGCGGGCCAGCGGGGAAACTCTGCAAGACCAATCGAGTCCTGTGGCACCACGGCTACCCCACAAAGGGGAACCACCGAAGCGCGCGAACGAGAAGTTAGCCGTGACGGCAGAGAATGACTTCCTCCGTTGCAGACGTGTGAGCTTTTCCCCACGGCCTCTGAGATAGCGGGTGAGCTGCGGGTTTCTCTCCGGCCAGAGGGTACTAGAAGTGTAGAGTGGCGAACACGCCTCGCCGCTTGATGCCTCCCGCGTTGCCCGTAGTGGCGGCGCTACAGTCGAATAGTACTGAAAGAGCCGTGCGCCACGCGCAAAAACTGCTATCCGCTTCGCCTCCTCCAGCACGTGTTTTTATGCGGATTTTTTCGTTCCTTCCCATCGTTCACGTCTAACACATACTGTAATAACCCCTGAAGTATGGCACGCCCGTCTACTGAATTTGAGCTTCATATAAGCCCTTGTGAGAGATCAAAATATTTAGAAATGGCGAGTTTTAATCTAATATCTTCTGTCCTAACTCTTTCTCTGTTGGTTAGGGGTCTACAATATTCATAATAACTGAGTAGACTTATTGGAAGTTAGCTGTGCTCAGAAAACTGCCCGATATTAAAAAAAGGCACCAGGCCTGCGCGAAACGCGCAGCACAGTCACAGCAAAAGCTAGAAGAGCTGCCTTTCAAAGCCTTTTCTGAACACTATTTGGGATCCTACAGGCACCCTGCTGCGAACATGATACGCCATAAATAATCGTAAATTTTGAGTAATACTCATAAATTTTCCGTAATAGGCCTGTATTCGCTATGCTATCATTCGTCATCCTTTGGCGAAGCGTGGTATCCATTACACACTTGTTAGGAATTCTGTGTAATTTTTATGCAGTGGCTGATGACCATGACGAAATGTCTCTGAAGTGGTTATGCACCACAGTTAATAGGTGATCAAGAACGAGTTATTTATTGGGTTGGAGCGTTCGACGACCCACTCCTTACACAGTTCACATTGTGTTACGCCTGGCTGTCTCTTTGATGTTCCAAAACTTTTTCTCACTCACATTAACTGCCTGATTAAGGCCAGTTTATAAACAAGTTCTAAGCACTCGCGTGGCTCAGTGGTGGAATATTGCGCTTGCACACAGCGGACTAGGCATTGAATCCCATTAGGTCATTTGTGTGTTTTTTTATTTACTGAGCTTTTTTTTCGTTTGATACTGGTTACAGACACCGGTGCTGGCAGCGGCGGACAACTACAGCGCCGTATGTGACACGTGTTCTGATCTCATGATAGCTTTCGCTGCAAGAGTACCGGGTCAAACGAATGCAGCACCAGGAGGCCATAAGTAGAAAGGGGAGGGGAAGGGAATCTGAACCTTCTACACCACGAAATATTTTACGTATTTTAACATTTCAGTGTACATTAAATTATTTACACCGTTTTCACTGCGACCCCCAATTGCAAAAGTTAGTTGTTATGGTGCACCCTCCTCCCCCTCCCCCGCCTAAGAAAATCCTGCGTAGCCCTGCGCCAAACGTTTAAAGTGTGAAAAGCTGAATATAGCGTGTCTCTGTACAAATGCGCACTGTAAATTTCACCTTTTCTACAATATGAGGTCTCAAACCTAGTTCAAGTATTTAGTAGTCGGACGAGACATGCACCACGTAAAAATAGCGGCTGTTCTAAGCGTCAGTGCATGGATATTGTTAAGAGTACTGAACGCTGGGCGAGTTGGTAAATCATGACTACAAAACTGCGCGAAAAATCGACAAGAAACAGAGAAGGCACACACACAAGCGCAGACTAGCAACTGACAGTTTATTGAAAGAAACACTTATATACCTAAAGAAAAAATATGACGTGAAAGATTAGAAGTTGGCAGTGAGATAATCAATCTCTAGTTGGTGCAAAGTCACCGAAGGCCTCGCAACACACGTGTCGCCATACTTGTGTATATAAAAAGCCTCCGCAACTTCTCTCGCTGTCCTATCCCTGTGCCGGGACAACACCCTTGTTTCGTGAAATAAAGGGGAACACTTGCAATCCCTGCAATGTAGGCACAGATTCGACGAAGGGTGGGCTTTCAGCGATGCCCGGTGATCCATTAGTCGGTTGTTCAAACATCTTCCAGTTTGCCCAATATAGCACCTACCACATGATAAGGGGATAAGATACACCGCACCAATTCCACACTCAACAAACGTTTCCCGGTGTTTGACCTCACAAACATACCACTTTTTTTCTTTTCCTTCAGCTTTCCTATCCACCATTGCGCAAACTCGGCCCAACTTATTCCTGGACGAAAAAACGACATTAACACCGAATCTATGTCCCACCTTTTTCATGCGGTGGGAGAAGGCATGAAGATTATTGAAGAAACTAAAACGGGACGGTAATGACAGAGCGGGCATAGATAAACGTTTGCCTTACACGTGCATTCCTTATCTTCATGCCTTCTCCCACCGCATGAAAAAGGTGGGACATAGATTCGGTGTTAATGTCGTTTTTTCGTCCAGGAATAAGTTGGGCCGAGTTTGCGCAATGGTGGATAGGAAAGCTGAAGGAAAAGAAAAAAAGTGGTATGTTTGTGAGGTCAAACACCGGGAAACGTTTGTTGAGTGTGGAATTGGTGCGGTGTATCTTATCCCCTTATCATGTGGTAGGTGCTATATTGGGCAAACTGGAAGATGTTTGAACAACCGACTAATGGATCACCGGGCATCGCTGAAAGCCCACCCTTCGTCGAATCTGTGCCTACATTGCAGGGATTGCAAGTGTTCCCCTTTATTTCACGAAACAAGGTGTTGTCCCGGCACAGGGATAGGACAGCGAGAGAAGTTGCGGAGGCTTTTTATATACACAAGTATGGCGACACGTGTGTTGCGAGGCCTTCGGTGACTTTGCACCAACTAGAGATTGATTATCTCACTGCCAACTTCTAATCTTTCACGTCATATTTTTTCTTTAGGTATATAAGTGTTTCTTTCAATAAACTGTCAGTTGCTAGTCTGCGCTTGTGTGTGTGCCTTCTCTGTTTCTTGTCGATTTTTCGCGCAGTTTTGTAGTCAGGATATTGTTAATGGGGCGTTATACACACACACACATATATATATATATATATAAATATATATATATATATATATATATAGATATATATATATATATATATATATATATATCTATATATATATATATATATATATATAATATATATATATAGATATATATATATATATATATATATATATTATATATATATATATATATATATAATATATATATATAGCAGGCATGGTGGTAGAGTGGCTGTAGCGTTGCATATAGTCAAGTAGATCATTTAACCATATGGTGTAGTAGCGCGAATTCGACGGGGATGAAAAGGACAAGAAAACACGACACTCGCTACAAGTAGATCCTCCGTGAGTGGTCACAACGTGGTTTATTTCGACGTTTCGGCCTAGAGTCTGGCCTTCATCAGGATTGAAGTTACAGTTTGTTGGTGCTCAGCTTTATACAATCTCAAATCAAATCAAAAGAGGTAAAAGACAGAAAAAAGCA